TTATTTCCGCAATTTAATAATAATAATAATTTTCCAATTAAATAAATAAATAAATAATTAATTAATTAATTAAATTTTCATCAAATATATATTAACCGACGCCAAAAACAAAAAAAAAAATTCAAAATTTTTCGTTTAAGTTTAACGTAATAATGATTTCTCTTAATTAAAATATATTTATATCTTCCGCCTCTCTCTTTCTTTCTCTCTCTCTCTCTATTCTATCTATCTATCTCTCTTTCTCTCTATGTGTGTGGCTTGAATACAATTAAGAATTTATAGTTGGTTAATAATTAAAAATAATTATTAAAAAAATTATTATTATTTTTATTATTGGTTTTTAAATGCAAAGGTAAATATATAATAATAATAATAATAATAATAATAATAATAATAATAATAATAATAATAATAATGAAAACAATGTAATTGACAATGTAAAGGATTAAAAAAAAAAAAAAAAGTGAATGCAAATATTAATTAGTTTAACAAAACAATCGGGGTAAGGGGAGTGAGGAATATTTAAGTATCCATTCTTGGGCCACAAATTTTTTTTTTTTTTTTATATATACTCATACCACTCTAGACCAAAAGTCACCGTCGTCGTCATCATCATCATCATCATCATTATTACACAAAATTAATTTTTTTATGTATATTCACATTTTAACCGAGTAACAACGATAATTATTATTAATAATAATAATAATAATTTTTTAATTTCATTTACGTATAATAAAAAATTTCTTTCCATTTCACGGTAAGAACTCTTTTCATTTATTTATTTATTATTTATTTATTTATCTTTTTTAATATAAAATTGTCTTTTATAAACAATATTTTAAAATAATAATAATAATAATAATAATAACAATTTCGAATTATTAATAATAATTAAAACGAAATTTAAATTAATTATGTGAATTATTATAAAGGGAAATAACTTTCTTCCATCATTTATATAATTTATTACTATTATTATTATTATTATTATTATTATTATTATTATTATTATTGTTTTTTTTTGTTATAAAGAAGAAAAACGCGAAAGCTAAAAAATTGTTTTCATTAATCATTATTATTATTATTATTTATTTATTTATTTATTTATCGGAATCGTTTTTTAATTATTTAAAATTTTAATAATTTTCAACTATTAAAATAAATAAAAAATTGATAACCTTATCGTTATCGTTATTATTATTATTATTATTTTTTTAGTTAAAATTTTGTTTAAGAGCTATCGATGATTTATTATTATTATTATTATTAAATAATTTTTTTTCGTAGGGTAAAATAATAGTAATAATAGTAGAATAATATTTTTAAAAAAAGTTTTCAAAAAAAATATGAACCCCTTTAGTTTTTAATGAATTGTTATTTTAAAAAAAAAAAAATAATAATAATGCTGAAATGCAGTCGTACAAACACAAACACAAACACACACAAAAAAAAAAAAACTTCATTGTCATGCTACCGATTTGAAAGTAATGAAAACCGAAAGAGGAAAGAACGATGTTGATATAACAAATGAAAAAGATTTTTTATAGAAAAACATGTCAAAACACTTGAACAACAACAACAAACAACAACAACAACAACAACAACAATAGTGTTCTGGCCATTCAATATGAAAACATACAACAGTATACTGCATTACAATCACAATCAGTGTTTGTTTGTCTTAGTTTGTTTGTCATAAATACAACAACAACGAAAATATATAATAATAATAATAATAATAATAATAATAATATTTATAAAATTCTTTTTGAAGAAAATTCGAGTCTAAATTTTTAAGTTAATAATAATAATAATAATAATAATTTATTAAAAAATTAAATTTAAATTAATTATCAACCTGTTTCATTTAATTAATTAAAACAGGCTATTTCTTTAAAAATTTTAGTAAAATAATTTTTCTGTGATTTGTTTAATAATAATAATAATAATTAATAATAGTAATAATAATGATGATGATAATAATAATAATACGACTCACTCTAATTTTTGACCCCTTGGAAAATTTTAAATTAAAAAAATTTTTTTTAAATTATTTTATTATTGCGACCGAGTAGTACGTTATTTTTTCCTATTTCCATTATTTAATTTTAATTTATTAATTAATATGTTTTTGTAATAATAATAATAATAATAATAATAATAATAATATTTTAATACAAATTCAATTAATTATTGAAACAAACGTCAATGTTATTGATTACATTTGAAAAATATTTAATTTTACCTTACGTATAAAATTTTTTTGCATTGTTATCGATATGGAGAATTTTTTTTTGCTTTTCCCGTATGTAGCAGTAAAGCGAATATTAAAAAATAATAATGGTGATGATAATGATAATGATAATAATAATAATAATAATAAAAGAGATAAAGAGGTAAGAGGATCATCTTTGGCGATGATCGGATTGCAGAGCCACAACCACATTCCTCACGTATTTTTCTTTCACAAAACCAAACACCAGCCCCACATTTACTGTTAATCTCATTTGCTTTAGGTACACTCGATTAAACAAAAATTTCTGTTCTTCCAACGCACCTGATCGTTAAAAATTATTTCAGGTTTTTTACGGTCTGGAGTGTACACACCTTCGGAATTTGACCTTGCTACTAAAAAAATGCGGTTTCTATCATTTTTGACCAATTTTTTTTTTTTTTTGTTTTTGTTTTTGCCTTTCGAGTAAAACCAAAGTAAATTTTGCTCTAATAGGGAAAGATTTCCTTCATCCCCCACCCCCTCCCGCCGCCCCTCCCTCCAACAACCAGAAGAAAAAACAACAAATTTATTATTATTATTATTATGCTTGATATAACTAATTTTTCTTAATTAAATTTAAAATTTTTAGTTGCGAAACACACAATCCATCCATCAGTTACCTAAACGTTTTTTTTTTTTTTTCTTTTTAATGAACAACAACAACAACAACCAAACAAACACTAATTGAAAATTATTTTAAATATTAAACGAAATTTAAATTTAAATGTTTCCCTCCATAAAAATTTAACAAACGATCGATTTGTTGCCAAAAAATAAAATAAAATAAAATAAATTTTCTGCAAAAAGGGGAGAAAGAAAGAAAAACCTGCAATACTCGAGGGTTGAAAATATATATAACAAGTGACATATTTATTGTAAGTAGGAGGGTGAGGGTAAAAAAAAAAAAATACATGCTTAGCCACCTGAGTTTACCTGAATTTATTTCAATGAATAAGCACGTGCCTGTTTCATTCTAGTTAGGTACCAATCGGCGAAGTGGTTACTTTTATCGTGTTTCTTTTTTTTTGAAAAAATTTTTTTTTTTTTTTTTTTTTTAAGAGGAATAAAAAAAGGGGGAAAACTAATGTTAGAAAATAGAAAAAAAATTTTTTTTTTTAAATAATGTGATTTTGTTGTTGTTTTTCTCTAAAACCACGACGGTTTAAATGATTGTTCACTTGTAAACGGCTTTTAAAAAAAAATTCAAAGTTTTGTTTTCGTTTTTGTTTTTTAAACTATGATAAACTAATTTCAAAATTAAATTAAAATGTTATTTTTAAAAAATGGCGGTTTCCTATCAAGAAAATTTGATAAAATAATTTTAAGGTAAGCAAACAACCGAGAGTTTTAAAACATTTTTCTTTTCTTTTTTTTATAATATTAATTTTTTTCTATAAATTGACATTTTCAAACGGACGCGTTTTTAATTAATAATAATAATAATAATAATATAAAATAAAATCGTATCATTTAATGTTACCCTGAGTTTCTCTCTCTCTCATTTTTCCCCGTGAATTTAATAATATATATATATATTTTTTTTTTGGATTTTATTTTGTTCTTTTAAAGTACAACAAGAAGAAAAAAAAAATATATATATATATATATATATTTTCTTAAAAACTAACCTTTACTAGGTATACTAGGTATGAAATTAAAATCTTACCTGCTTTTGAAATGATTTTAACAACAACAAAAAAACCTTTTTTGTCCTCCTCAATCGACTCATGACTGCAATTTCAATATTGATTGGTCGTCATTTTCAACCCTGAAATAAATTTATAAAAAAAAATTTTTAACAATTATTATCAACAATAAAAGGTCATAGATCTCTATTTTATTAATTATTAATTTAAACCTTAAAATAGTTTTTTTTTTCCATCGAATTTTAATATATATATATATAAAAGTTTGAATAATGGAAAATTCTATGGAAAAAATCTTTTGTTATTAAATTGTAGAAAATTATTGTTTCCTTCCTTCCTTCCTTCCTTCCTTTCCCCTATCGTTTAAATATTCCCAATAAAAAAAAATTATTATTATTATTATTATTATGAAAAACCGTTAGTTAATAATTACAAATAATTTATCGATTAAAATAAAATATTTGTTAACTAATAGTAAAAAGGAAAATTTTTTTCCCTAAAGTGTTACCAAAAATAAAATAATTTTTCTTAATTAATGTAACAAATTAACCAAAAAATAAAATAAAATAAACAATTTTTATTAATAAAATTATTATTATTATTATTAGGTTTTTACGAATATGTTTTTAAAAAAAAAATGGTATTAATTAAAATATAAACTTTATTAATTTTTTTTTTAAAAGAAAATTATTTATCTTAACCGTAAAGTCTTAAAAAGGTCATCTACCTTAATTAATTTCTTGAATTTGTGATGTTTAATTAAGTGTTCAAACTAATAATTTCTAGAATTTTCCATTTTTATTTATATAAAATTATGTTTAAACCTTTTGGCATTGATAAAATTTATTAATTTAATTTTAAATTGATATATAAAATTATTTGAAATCGAACAAAATGCAAGAGACCTTTTCGAAACCTGTAATAAGAACCTTTTGAAAGTTCGTATGTAAGCCAATATGAAAAACGCCTAATTGATAAAAGAATATTATTATTATTATTGATAACAAAAAAAAAATTATTGTACGAATAGTTATTTAATAATAATTTTTTTTTTTTTTTAAGGAGTTTGACCGACCATGCGGTGGCTGCTAATGGTGTTCTTGGTGGTCCTGACGCTCAATCTTATGCCACTAGACGCCAATTCGCAGAATAACGAAGGCTACGATAACGATAAGGAAAAATATAAAAAATATAATAAAGGTTCAGAAACTCAAAAGAATATTATCGATATTAAGAATAAAAATATAATTGCTACGGTCGAAAAAAACCTGATGACTCTGTTTGGGTTTTCCAAAAGGCCGAGAATCAATAAAAGGGACGTTGTCGTTCCTAAAGCTATGCTAGATTTGTATAAAAAACAAACAGGCATGGATTTGGATACCACAAATTTTATGTTACCGGGCAGACTTACCTCTTCTGCTAATACGGTCAGAAGCTTTACCCATCAAGGTAATTAGGTAATTTATTATAAAAGTATTCATAAATTATGCTCTAATTAAAAAAGCTTAATACTCAGGTACCAAAACTATATTTAAATTACATTGACTTTTTGTTCTGGGGGCCTTTTTTAAAAAAAATATTACTTGTAACAACTCTTAGTGACCCTCGTTGCATTCACCTTAACCACTTTTACGGTATTAATTAAAAATTAATTAATGTGTGTGTGTGTGTGTGCGTGTGTGTGATTTTTTTGATATTTTAGAAAGTCCGATTGACAACCAATTTCGTCAAAGGCATCGTTTTCGTTTATCTTTTCCAATAGAAGGATCAATACCAAAGTCAGAAAGGCTAAAGGCAGCGGAATTGCACCTGAATCGAGTGTCAATACCTCAAGCGGTTCAAAATGGGTGTCACACCCTTCAAATTCTAGTCCATGATATCATACTACCCGGAATTAAAGGAAAGCGTCAAACAATTACTAGGTTAATTGATTCAAAGCAAGTTTTTTTAAGTGAAAATGAAACTGTCAAAATGGACGTGACTCCGGCTGTCGAAAGATGGTTGGCTAATTCCGCTGATAACCACGGTCTGCTCGTGAAAATTGTGATTCCAAAAACAAAATCAAATAGTGAAAATTTAATAATAAATTGTTTTAGTGATGATAAATTATCGAACAAAGAATACTATAAGAATTTAATGTTGAGTAAATTAAACCATATTGACAAACATGTTAGATTAAAACGGGAAGCGCACGTCGGACGAAAAGACTGGAAGAAGGTTGAACCATTGCTATTTACGTATACGGATGATGGAAAATCTAAAAGTTCTTGGAAAGATTCATCGGCGGGAAGGCTGAGGAGGGGAATAAGAAAACATAAGAGAAAAGATGGAAGAGAGCACTGCAGGCGGCACGAACTCTATGTTAAATTCGAAGATGTCGGATGGGACGACTGGATTTTGGCTCCCCCCGGCTACGACGCTTTTTATTGTTCCGGAGACTGTCCTTTTCCACTGTCCGATCATTTTAATTCAACCAATCATGCTATTGTTCAAACTTTAGTTAATAGTGTATTTCCAAACACGGCACCAAAAGCATGCTGTGTTCCCACCGCCCTTGCACCAATATCAATGTTATATGTAGATGAAGAAAACAAAGTTATATTAAAAAATTACGACGATATGTCAATTTTAGGATGCGGTTGTCGATGAACAAACAAACTTTGCTTAAAATTAAAAAAAGAAAAATTTACTTACTGCTAGCTTTTCCACATCCCCGGATCACCAAGAAAATATCAATCAATCAATCATCCACCATCATTATTATTATTATTATTATGCTGGCAAAAGGTATATAAACTCTCACGTCAAATTGTGAGAAAAATATACCTTAATGTTATTTTTTTTCTATAAAATAACCGACCGAAGGAAACTGAAAAGAAAAAAAATAAAAATAAAAAGTGATATAAAAGATCACATTGGCATATAATTTTTTATAAAATAATAATAATTATTATTATTATCGTTAACTGAAAACAAACAAACAAACAAACAAACAAGGAACTGCTGCTGCATACATTTAAAATTAATGTTAAGAACTTTATATATGTTTAAAGAAGAAAAACTGACTGTAATAACTTAAAATACATTTATCAATTAATTTTATGTAAATTGTGTAAAGAAAATTTTTTTTTTTTAAAACGAATAAATAGTAGTTTTGTTGTTATGTTACTTATTAAAAATTTAACAACATCAAATGATGGAAAAAAAAAAAAAAAACATATTTTTAATTTAATTTAATTTTTTTTTTTTGTGAAAAACAAAAAACTATCCGGAATAAATACTCCTAAAAAAAAAAAAAAAAAAAAAAAACTCACATAATTGCCTTCAGTATTAAACGATTAAACGAGACGACTTTAAGTGAAATTTCAATGACTTATCAATAAATAAAAAAAAAAAAAAAAAAATGTTGAAGGTAAAATTTTGACTCTTATATGATATACGAATTGCCACAAAACAAAATACATTTACTGACTTTATTGCCAAGGCAAACAACCGAACCTGATTCGATATCTCGTGTTTGTTTCTCAGATGCGTTTAATAAAATGATGTGCGCGTACCTTGTACAAAAAAAAAAAAAATTTTTTCCCTATATTAAAACGAAATGGGAAAAAATTAATTTTACAACTTTCAAGTGTTAACATAACCATCCGAATATTATTATTATTTTTTTTTTTTTTCATAATATTATTACGTAATAATTACGACTTGATAAAAACATGATGATAATAATAATAATAATAATTTTTTGTTAATAAAAAAAAAGTTGAGTAAATAAAATAATAAACAATTTTTTTTTTTTTTTTACGGTTATTCGTGTCTACTACGATCATAATTAAATTTTTTTAATATTAATTATAATAATTGATTGATATTAACAACAACAACAACCAAAACAACAACAACCAAAACAACAACAACAAAATCAATTTCTCTTCTTTTTAAATTATTTTTAACATAAATATATTCAAACTTTTTTCCTTTTTTTTCTATCAGAGACAAAAAACTGTTAATATTACATAAAAAATTACATTTTTACGCCATATTGAAATTGAGTAATAGTGAAATAATAATAATAATAATAATAATAATAAAACGGTAACTTTCAAATCAAATTTTTTTTTTTTTTTGTTTTTTTTGGTAAAATAATAATATTATGTGAATTTTTTTTAGTCTAAAAATTATTTTCGTCCCCTCCCCTCCCCCAATTTAAAATTTCAAATAATTTTCTTCTTTTTATATATATATATATATATATATATATAAATTACGTCATCATAAGAGAAACTCATAGAAAAATTTTTTAAATCTTATGTAATTCGTAAACAAAAAAAAAATTGGAATTGACGTTATTTAAATTAAAATTTAATTATCAATTTAATATAAAAATCAATTATTTAATTAATGTGAGTAATAATAATAATAATAATAAAAAGCCTACAACGAATGCTTGAATTGTAAAAAAAAAAAAAAATGCAATTTAAAATCACGTTTTTTTTTTTTTCTAACTATTTCCGTTTTATTTTTTTTATTTTTTTTTTCTACGTATCAAATTTCTTAATAATAAATGTGAAATTTTAAGACGCAATTTTTTATTTATAAAAAAAAAAAAAAAAAAAAAAAATCGTTAAAATAATAAATAACGAAAATCAATTCGATTATATTTTTATACATTATTAAAAATAAAAAAATTTAAATAATGATGATGATAATAATTTTTTTTTTTTACTGTTAAAATAAAAGAAATCTTTTTATTATTATTATTAAAGGACAACAAAGAACAACTGCAAATTATTATAAAAACCTGATAAGCCGGTATTATTGACGAAAAACAATTTTTTTTTTTCCCTTCTTCTTCTTCATCTTTTTCTTTTTCTGGCAGGGAGAAAAAATTTCATTTTGTTTTTTTTTTAACTATTTTTTTCATGGGGGTCTTTGATCTTTTAATGGCAAAAGGTAATATTTCTACCTGGGCGGCGTTGAAAAGAATAAAAAAAAAAAAAAAAAAAAACACACACACACACATTTAGAAAAACGTTGTAATTATTATTATTTTTTTTTTTTGTGAAATCACTTCTTACTCAGTCACTTACCTTGTAATAAATTTAATTTCACCGATTTTTTCTTTTTCTTTTTTTTTTTCTCTCCACCATCGGTTAATTAAATTTTATGCTAGTGGTAAGAAGATTTTTTTTTAAACAAAATAATAATAATAATAATAATAACGATTTTGTTATACCACCACACAATAACATCATGTCATCTTTTACTATTACTAATTGAAAAATATTCAAATGTATCAGGGGATTATAATTATTATTATTATTTATTTTATGGTAACAGACAGCATGTCTTCTTCTAATTTATTTTATAATAACTTTAATAATTTTATTAGAATTCAAGGACTTTTTTTTTCGTTTGTAAAATGGACACAAATATGCATAAAATAAAGTCCTTTTAAGAATTTCGTATTAATTTAGCCTTGAAAAATAATTTAAACCGTATTTAAATTTTAAAAAAAAAAAACCGCTCTAATTTTTTCTCCCTTTGAAAATCATCATTATTTCGAATCCCTCATACTCAAAGAAACCTCTACCAGGTACATTTATTTAAAAAAAAAAAAAAATACCTTTGTTGTCATCGTATTAATTGCAAATTAAAAGAATGTAAAAATATATATACGATATCCAATTATATAAATATGATAACTTTGAAATTTTACGCACCTTTTTTTTTTTTGTTGCAAATACGTCCATGATTTCCTCTCCTCGAATAAATCACCAATATTACAATAACTTGTAATAATAATAATAATAATAATAATATAATTTTTATTTAAAAAAAATTATATTTTCATGCAATTTTCTTTTCTTCAAACACTTTTCTCTTTCAAATAAAATAGAACATTTCCTCTCTCGATTCAAATAATTATTTGATTAAACTTATCTAAAATTATAATAATCAAACTAAATAATTATTATTATTATCATCTCTCCTCGTTACCTTTTTTTTTTTTTTTTTTTTTTTTTACATGACGAAATTTAATAGTCTTACCTTTGTAATAAATAATTAATAATCTCCAATTAATTATTTATACCTAAATATATTTGGATTTGGAATTTTAAACTTGTTTACTAATTTTCATTATATAAACAAAAAATAATAATAATAATAATAATAATCACGTTTCATAAAAAAAAAAAAAAAAAAAAAAAATCAAATAAATTATTAATCATTTAATTATTTATTTATATATTTCACGATAGTAAAAATTTATTTATTAATTTCAAATTATTATTATTTAATAATTTTTCTAGAAAAAAAAAAAAAAAAATTCTAAACCCTTAAATAAAATTATTTTAAATAATAATAATAATAATAATTATTATTATTATTGTTGTAATAAAACTTATATTTTCTTACATTTTGTGATTTATTATTATTCAGCAGTAGTAGGACCAAGTAAAAAACAAATTAATTAATTAATAATCTATGCTTAACGTGTTTTTCGTACTTTTTTTGACTTCATTCTGAAAAACAATTTCAAATGAATATGATAAAAAGTCAAGTTTTTTTGTTTGTTTTATTGTTGTTGAAGATTTGACAGTTGCATCAGTACTAAATATTATTAATCATTTACACATCGTTAACCTCATAGAACCTTCTTTCATCACGACAAACAAAGGAACCATACATTCGGTTTTTTTTTTTTTTTCTCAAAATAATTCGATTTTTCTGACCGAAAAATATACTTAACTCACATTACGGTTTTCTTGTAGTTCTTTTAATTAATCATTTAATACGTCATACAAATCTGAAAACAAAAAAAAAAAAAAAAAAAAAAAAAACGTTCAATAATCATAAAAAATGATTAACAATTTCGTATTGTTACAACTTACTTAAAAATTATCCATTAGCAAAGACTATGAAACCATATCGTGCCATTGGCTTCCATTAGATGAAGAAGAGGATGACGAGGATGACGATGAAGAATCTCCGTTACCGAAATCTAAAAAAATTTTTTTATCATCGATAATATACCAACGACCGACAACGTTAACAATAAATATTTATTAAAAAAAATTTATTATTATTTTTTTTGAATACATAACTGTTTTTGTTAGTCGGGGATCTATATTTTTGAGCGGGAGCCCATATGCGAATGGTACCATCATCGGAAACGGAAGCCATTAACTGATGGTAAACGGGATTCCAAGACACGCAATTAACGGTTCTCGTATGACCATTTAATATTGCTATTGGTAATTCTCTTTTTAAATGCCATATATAAACCTTGTTATCCTCACTCCCAGACGCTACAAAATCCTGATTTACTCCTAAAATTTTGTCATAAATATTACTATAGTTTGTAACAGGTTTTAGCATACAAGTGCAATATAAATAGCAAGGAACAAAATTTAATGTTGGCAGCAATGACTCAAAAAGTTTTGACGTTATTTTAACCTATTCGTTAGTTTTTTTTTTTTTTTTTTACGAAGATATAAATAAAGAAGTACCTCCGAAACAACTATGTATTGTAAAATGTCCTTGGGTAACTCCTTGAAATTTACGAACCAAACATTTGTCTTCCAAATCCCACAAATGGACGCTTTGAGTGGCAACGTTAAGCAAAGCTAATCTATCAGCAGCATTTACCGTGAATGTCATTACAGGATGATCTTCTTGTAATCTGAATTTTTAATAAAACTTTATATTTAAAAATTAAAATATTAAATAAAAAATTTTCAAAATTTATATAATAAACACTTAAACGGTAATTAAAAAAAAATTTAAGAGTACTCACATGTTGGTATCAGAGAGCATATCAAAATTGTATCCTCTAATTCTTTGATGAGTATCAGCTGCAAGAACTGTTTTTCCATCACTACGACACCACAAGCAATTCACTCGAACTCCTTCCCAAGAATCTAATATGTTACCTTCTAAATCCTAGAGTTAAATTTAAAAAAAAAAAAAAAGAAAAAACAATAATTAAAGCTTAAGAATACAGGTTTATAAGTTTAAATTTTAGGCAATACGTACGAATTGATAAAATTGACCTCTAATTCCGCCTGTGACGAATTTTTTCCCGTCTTTATGCCATGAGCAAGAAGTTAATGAATCTTCTGGAGAATGAGAAACTTTAACTCTGAGCTCATCAGATTCTATATTCCAAATCCATAATTCTGGGCAATCTTCTGGTCCACATGCAATAAGGTGAGTACTATCGGGAGACCAAGCTAAATAAGCCACTCCGTAACCATGTCCTTCTAATGTTCTTCTATGAGTTACTTGAAGAGATTCCTAAAAATTTGTTTAAAATTTATAAAAATAAAATAATTTTAATTACAAAAAAACAATTACTTAAAATTTTTAAAAACATTTTTACCATGATACTCTATTTGAATATAGGTTAGATAAGAACGATAAAAATATAACTTACAGGGTCTACATCCCAAATAATAACAGTTGTATCTTTAGATCCAGTGGCTAGTTTAAGGCCATCTGGTGAAAATCTGCAGAACCACACTTCATCACAATGATCATTTAGAATTTGTGATGTTTCACATGGAAATTGCTCTTTGGAACACAAATGATCTACGAGTAATGTAACATCGATCACACCACCTTCAGACTTAGTGTTATGATAAGGACAATTTTGTTTTTGAACATCAACCGCTTGAATCAATAAATTATGCAACCTGTAAAATGAGAAAAATTTAAATAACATGTTTTTAAAAAATTTCAATAATTTTGTAAATTTATTATAAATTATAATGCTTAAATAATTAAATTTTAAAATTCATTAACCTTCTAGGAGGAAGCATAATAGTAGGAGGGAGAAAAGTTTGTAATTTGTCCATCAACAATGTTCTACTCTTTGTTCCTTTGCCCTGCCAATGAGCTAAAGCGTGAAGTTCCTCTCTTCCGTTGCACATCATGTACGAACTAAGCTCGTGAACTCTAGAAGTATTATGTTGTAATGGAGTTAATTCATTTCTTAATACATGAAGTGCATCCAAAACCTAAAATTAAAATTTAAAAAACGTTATGGCATATAAAAAACTTCATATTTTAAAAAAATTTTAAATAATCAATTAAAATTTAATAAAATTTTGATAAACTACCTTTCCATCCTCTAAATACTCCAAATATTTTTGTTCTAATAGCAAAAATTTCATTTCTTCATATAAATTTAGAGGCTGATTATTTTGCATTGTTTGGTTTGAAGATGGCTCTAAAAGTGATTTTAATTCATTTAAATCACTATCAGCTTTACTCCAGTCTCCATCCATAACATGTTGACGAAACTTGGCAGCAGCAGGGTGATCTAAACGACATCCTGACTCTTGCATTAAAAATTCTGCAGTTTGACTATTAAACAAAACAAAAAGAAACATAATTTTTAAAAATGCTGTTTCTTAAAAAGTATTCTCTATATAATGAAAAACATGTTTTAATAATTTTTAATGAAATTTTTTAAAAAGGAAAATATGTTAAAATTATCATTTAAGAATTTGAATAAATCAGTAATCCAAAAATTATAAGTAAACATAAATTCAAACATAATCAACTCATTTCATAATTCAAATTATGAGGGGTGTTAGTGCGTAATAAATTTAAATTTTTTGCTGAAAAACAACCAAAAATTTATTTTTGTAAAAATAAACACAGAAAACCTTATAAAAACTCACTTTAATCCTACACTTTTCAAATACTGTCCAACCAATCTAACAATCTCTTGATTTGTTTTGTCCATAGTTTTGGGTATGATTTCCCCATTGACGTCACCGTTGATAACACAATCGTCTGTTCCATTTTGAGTGATCCCTTGACGACTTTCAGAAGTTCCATTTTGCTGCGGAGAGCAGCCATTCGCTGCTTGCTGCATCGTAGCACCTTCCAAAGAAGTTCTTACCTTTTTACGCGGTGGTGGAACAAGGCCACCGTCGTCTGACTCTCCGCTTGAGGCCAGGCTTGCTAAAAAACCTCCGTGTTGGATTGCTTTTTTTTCAAGCACTCTGCTTTTTTTTTAAAAAATTGTAAATATTTTAAATTATTTCTCTACAATTTTTTTTCCAGAATTTCAAAATATACTAAAATAGCTTCTGATTTCAAATTCATCGCACCATTTTATAGTCACAGCTGACCATTTTGTTTAAAGCTATGACGTCACACAATGCTACAAAATTATTACCAACGTTAAACAAAAAAAAAAGTACCATTAAAAAAAAACTCTAAACATATGATTCCTTCATACAAGCCTCTTAGGTTTTTTTTTAAATAATTAGTATTATCAGGTGTAAAATTAATATCAGGGAATTATAATAGTTGACAAAATGACATATTAGCTAATCCTGAAACTTAAAGGATAATTTTTTAATAAATAAAAATTTAAATATTTAATTTTTGTATAATATTTATTTTATTTTAAATGAGCAACAACAAAAATAACAAATATTAATATTTGATTAGATTTTCAACTTGACCCCACCTTTTAATAAAATATCTTCCAACTTTTCCTTGACCAACAAAAACAATTTTTTAAACTCTAATCCGCAACCTCGAGACAGACGAAAATCTAATAGAACTTTTCCATTCATTTCCACAACACTAGTTTTAAATATTAAATTATTTTTTCTACGATCAATTGTGGTAAATGTTAATATAAAAGGAGGTCCGCGTTTCCAGGAGCAAGCCGAAGATTCCAACACATCAACAACTTTTTTTATAGCAGTTTCAGCATCCACAGTCACAAAAAATCTGGTCATTCGTCGTATTAAATTTTGGTAACCATCAAGAGCAGCCGTTTGCGTTGAATGAAGTTGTGAACTTAAAAGTAAATCATCAATGTGAACAGGTTGAGAGAAACAAACAATTTTATTACTGTACAAATCATCATCATCTTTTTCGAATTTTCCTTTGTTGCCTTCGCTGTCGCAAAACTGTGGAGCAGGTTGAGAAAAACAATAACGTGAGAATTCTTCTTCGGATGCACTCATTGATGGTGCTAGTTCCGAACCAGAATAGAGTCTTTTTGATGCAGGAGTGATGTTTACTTGAACTGAAATATATATACAAGATACCTATATGTACCACAAAAGAATTTAAATAGCAAAAATACATTTTGAAAAAAATTACAATTCAAACTTAATCGTCAATACAAACCCTATAAAATAAAATTTCACATCAGCGAGATAGCTCTACCAATTATTTATTTATTTTTACCGAATTTTGAAGGTATCAGGTAATTATATTTTAAAATCAATTAATACCTATCGTAAAGTTTAGTACATAAAAACCTCAGTTGAATTTACCAAATATTCCTGACATCGGTAAAATAGCTTTATGGAATAAAATTATTATCCATACAGCTAGATCACCAAAGAAAGGATTTATGATTTCTGACTTTTTAAACAAAACAATTTTTTATGCAATACACGTCGCCTTTCCTTTCAATCATGCTTTGGTAATCTAGCTTTATGAGTATAAAAGTCATCATAAACTAAATTACCAAAGCAAAATAATAAAGGACTTGAAAAAAAAAGTAAAAGATATTGCAACTTCAACTTTTCCAGGCATCAAGACACCCTGAGAAGTCAAAAAAAATACCTCAGAGTCACTTAGTACCTGTCAAAGGCAAAATTGTACTAATATAAATGACTGTAGAAAAGTTGGATCACGTAACATCCCCTGTGATATACACAGCTTTAATAGCTAGGTAGTAAAAATTTTCTTCGGAATTAACAATTTTTTTTTTTTTTTTTTTTTTTTTTGTGAAATTATAACAAGGTCAGTTACCTGGTTCGTTAGGGTAGATTTTAGAACACCAACGATGTTTCAATATTTGACTTGCTGTCAGACGTTTATCCGGTAATGGAATCAAAATTTTTTTTAACAAATTTAAAACGCTATTATTAAGTTTATTCCACGGAGAATGAGTTATGATGTTATTTTTCCATAATGAAAATTCTTTACAAGTGGATGCAGGAACATCCCAGGGTAATTCTAAAAAATTAAAATAAAAGCTTAAAAGAAACAAAAATTAACAATATTTCATTTTTAAAGATTTTAATTTGAGTGTAATTAAAGGAAGTCATAAAGTCAAGACATTTTTTTTTTTTTTTTTTTTTTTCCCACTAAAATATTTAGTAAGATGCAGATAGAATAATGCCAAGATTTTTAAAATCAAATTCAAGTATTCGCAAGACTGACTGCAAGATAATAAAGCTAAACTTATTTTTTAAAAAAAAAATAAATATTGTGTTGTTTAATTAAAGAAGTGAAACTAAATAATTTATATCACTGATGTACAGAGAATTTGCTTCGGTCTTGGGTATAATAGCCGAGGAATTTTATTAACACAACCCTACGGCTAGGATACCAAAGATCAAAGCAAAGCTACGGTAAAATTTAAGTAATAAAATTTTAAAAAAATTTTAAGCCACAAAGACTTTACCTCCCGCTAGCATAGCAACAAGAACTATACCGCAAGACCAAACATCAGCTGGCGCAGCTTTATAAGGTCTCAAAAGAACTTCAGGGGCTACATAAGGCATAGTTCCACATTTCTTATCAAGAAGTCTCTCGATTCCGTTTTTTCTATAAAAAAAAAAAAAAAATTACAATTTTAAAATATTTAAACTATACTAATTTAATAAATTTTATAATAAGTAGTAAACCTAAATAAGGTTGCCATTCCAAAATCTGATATTTTAACATTATCATTATCATCTAATAATATATTTTCAGGTTTGATGTCACGATGAGAAACCCCTCTCGAATGAAGGTATTCAACGCCTGATATTAATTGTACAAAATATTTTTGAGCTTCCCATAATTTCATACCAATGTCAGGCTCTGTAAAATAATAAAAATTAAATAACAAACTATGAGGAAATAAAAATATTTTTTCAACATTTAAAAAAAAAAGATTTCATGCACATGACGTGAAAGTTTTAAAATTCGATATTTCTACCAAAATATAGATATCACAATATATTAAAACTACAGTTAATTTTTTAAAATAAATGTTTTAATTAAAACATCAATAAGGAAACACTCAAATATTTAGCATTATGATAAAAAAAGCATTTAGAAAAAAAATATCTGTATATGAACTAACCTATTTTGTTAAATAGTTCACCGCCTGATGCATATTCTAGAAATAAATATTCGATTGTACCTTCACTGCGATGACCAAAATACCTAATTATATTAGGATGATTTAAAGCTCTATGGATAGCTAGTTCTTTTCTCACAGCTAATTTTGCTTCTTCATGCAATTCAGTGTTAATAACTTTAACAGCCAAAACATCTCTAGTTTCATCATTAATTAGTAACTTGACCTAAAACAATACATATATTTACTTGTGATTTAATTTTTAAATAAAATGATGCATGCCATTATGAGTAAAAAGGAAAATTTTACACATACAATTAATTTTTCAATAAGAAAGCAATGCTATTTATAAAAAAGCCATTAAAACTTTTTAAAATAAGATATATATCAAATAATATGTTTAAACACTTAAACTAAGAACATGATTTTATCATACAAATCATAACATATGAGAATATTAAAAAATAATAACAATAATGATTAATTAATTTTAATAATTAACAATTATTTAATAACCTTTTTCGGTCTTAAATAATAAAAAAAATTTGAAAATTATAAAACTTACTTCTCCAAACGCTCCTTCACCAAGCACCTGTGCAATGGTCCAGCCGTCAACGAATTGAACAGACATTTTTCAATATCTGACATTTTCCTATATAAATAATTTTTTCAGTTACAATTTCCAAATAATATTATTAAAAATTTATTAAAAAAAAAAAAAAAGAAAAGAAAAAAAGAAAACAGTTAAAATTTATAATTGTGTTTTATAATAGGTAACAATTACATTTCCTCCACACCTTTGAACTTGAGTAACGATTTTTCAAACATTTAAATAAGGCAAATTAATGAAATACAAATTTGTAGTTTACAATCAATTAATAAAAAAGTCTAAATTTAATATACCAAAAGTAGAATTTTATAAATGTTAAATTTATTTTTGAAAAATTAATAAAATTTTTACATATTAACACGTGCGAGACTCACAACCTTTCAAATAAAACTAAACCTAAGTTTCTATAACTTGACCAACTAAAAAAAAGGTTAAATATAAGTAAACGATTAAATAAAACATTACCTGTACTTTATTAATGAAAAGAGAGCCTGAATAATTAGAAAAAAAACCTTAAAAATAATAAAATTAAATAATCTTTTTTAAACATAATCGATCGCGTCTTTTATCCAGCTCATGGCGGAAGGAAATATTGGAAATTGTAGTAATAAAACGGTATAGTTAAATAATTAAATAGAATGTAGTTATGCCCTTTTTCAAATTTCATTTTTAATAATGGCCGACTTCGCGCGCAAAAAGCAAAAATTGATACGTTTACACTATTTTAAAATTACCTGGGAATTTGTAAATCTTTATTTTAATTTAAAATTTTTTTTTTGTGAATCATTAAAACTAAATTATCATTACAAAAAATATCTAAATTTCCTTTAATTTGATGATTGATATGCATATAAAACCAAACGACAATTGACTACTTTAATTATATATTAATTTTTATTCAAAACAATTTATTAACTTTATCTTTTTTCATGGCAAAACTTATTTCAAAAAAGATATTCTTTTAAATATTGATTTTGTTTTAAATACTTTATTTAAAAAAAAAAAAAAACGTTATATTTCTTCCAATACATGTTTTAATTTAGATTCTTTTAAAAAAAAAAATTAATTATCGAAAAACGGTTGAAATGACGTCATATTAAGTTTTTTTTTTTTTTTTTTTTGAAAGAATCGATCTCACTTTTAATCATGCGCTTCATAAAGTTGAGCAAATGTACATTATTATGTATTAATTCCTGAACATTGAAGGGGTACTTTTAACAGTAATGAATAGAATTTATTTCGATGGCCACTGATTTCATTAGAAAAAGAAGAAGAAAGTATGCCCGAAACATTGGTATTGAAGTGTAATTAAAAAAAATTCGGTTACTAAAAAATATTTTATTTGACTTGAATGCGTTTATATCATATATTGATGTGTGTTAGTTTTTTTTCAATTTTGATTAAAACAACAACAAATTATAAATCTTAAAAAATCAAAAATATTTAATAATGAACGTAAATTATATAAAAAATGTAGAGAAAATTAAATAATAAAACTTTAGCAAGGAAAGTTATAATAAAAAAATAACATGGCGTTATATTTTGTAATTTTTTCGACCATGCTTTGGACAATTATTTATTTTACAATAAAATTATTATCAAATAAAGAACCGGAATGGACCGTGCGAACGGTAACAGCTTTACACGCCACTATCATCACTGTTTTAGCACTTTTGGATTGGTCCTATTTAAAAGAATGGAATGTCGAAAAATTAGGTTTGAAGGCAATTACCCAAAGTTCAATATATTTAGAATTTCTAGAAAAATCTTTTTTTTTTTTTTTTTTTTTTTAATATTATTCAGGGGAACCAAATTCAATGTATGAAGAAATAGTATTAACCTTAACATTAGGTTACTTTTTATTCGATTTCATATGGATAATTAATTATCAAACGGAAAGTCTAGCAATGTATTTTCATCATGGCGCCAGTATTTTGTGTCTGGCCGTAATTTTAGCAAAAGGGTATAGTGGATTCGAGGTTTTAGTCGGTAAATATTTTGCTGTAAGACCAAATAAACAACTTTTAATTGTTACAGTTTTTAATTTTAAGTATTTGGTACTATTCAGGTATCTCTGGATTAGAACTGACCAATCCATGCCTGCAAGCAAGATGGTTTCTTAGAACTTATGGATACCAAAAAACATGGCTGTATGCTATCGTCGAATCAATTTTTATGATAACTTTCATTACATTTAGAATAATTTATGGTTCATTTTTAACGTACAATATTATTTTACATCCGAAATGTCATTTCGTATTAAAATTGGGTACTATATCATTGTATAGCGTATCGTGGGTTTTTGCTTGCCAAATGAAATCATACATATTAAAAAAATTTAAAAACGTAGAAAATAAAAATTAATTATGTGATCTTATTAATTTTAAGTGATTTTAATACGTAAATATTTTTAATTAAAATTTAAAAAAAATAATAAATCTAGTGTACTTTTGTTTAAACAGCCTATAAAATCTCGTTACCTTCTTTTACTTCATTTTGAATTCCAACGATGTAACTAAGTTTCGAAATAATGACAAGTTTTAATAATATATATTAGTAATTATTAACAATTAAACAAATCTGATAATATTATACTAAGATATTCTGAATAGGTAACTTAAATTATTCCAGACAAAAAAAAAAAAAATTTTGTTAAAACAGAAAAACAAAATTTTCGATTACGATTAAAAATGAGATATAAATATAAAACTTGGTGACAAAAATTAAACCAAATCAGAAAGTTGCATAAGCACTTAAATAATGGTGAATTTTTAAAAATATTTTATATCTAATAGTATTTTTACAACCTTTTAAAAACTTAAATAACGACAGTTTTTCTAGTCATATTATCTTTTAAAAAAACACTGAAAAATACAATAGGAATGTCAGTTTAATTTGATTATATAAATTCTATGTCATATAGAATAAACATAACATTTTTATTAAATGATTGAATAGTCTTTAAAAAAAAATTCAACAGTTTTTCTTTTAAAAAATTAATTTTTTTTACTTCATAAATATCTTTTTTTTCTGCTTCGATATGACACACCACCTGTATTCCTGTCTTTATGTTTTTTTTTAATGTCATGAGATCTTGGGTATTTTCTAAGATCATGCCTATAATGTTTGTTTCTGTTAGGTCTTTCCAAATTCATAATGTCATTTTTACAATTAAGTAACATATCTGGATTATTATTAGAATATCCCTGTAAATCTGCAGGTAATACATCCTGTGTTACTTGGTTATATTCGACATTTTGCCTATTAAACATTTCATTCGATTCCATTGCAACATGTTTATTATATAAATTCGGTTGAGGATTGGTATAACTTTTCCCTTTTTTTTTAATAGACAAAACTTTTTTAAACAAATAAGTTCCTTTATATAACTTAATAGCATAATCAACAGACACCTCATGTTTGTAAGTCACAAATCCATATCGAAAGGAATCTACACTATTACTGACTATAGCTACTCTTTCAATTGGACCAGCCTAAAGAAGTGTTGAAATAAACATTAATGTAAGTATTGGATTGTTTATTTTAAAACTAATAAAAATTAAATCCCTAACGATAATAAAATTGCAATACTTATTTGTAAATAAAGAATTTCAAAATGTAAATTTAATTACCTGCAAAAAAAGTTCATACAGAACTTCTTCTGAAACATTTCTGTCCAAGTTTCCTATGTATAAAGTCCTGTCATCTGAATTCAATGCCATTTTAATATGAAAATGCTCTTTGACTTATTTATATTACATTTAATATAGAAATATATTTTAAATTTTTTCTGACATTATGTTTAAAATAAATTAGTGTGAATTTTTAAAAAATTTAGGTTTTCACTAAAAAATGATAGATTAATTAATTTAGAGCATAGTTATAAGGTGTAATATAGCATAAATATAGAAACCATAGACGTTTATAAAGGTAGCCATTTTTGCATAAAATTCTTACATAGACATTTATATATTAGAATAATTATTTTCTCTTTAAGATTCAGTTTTAAATCACATTTACTTTAAATTTACCTTTAGACATTTAGTATTAAAATTATTTAAAATTTAAGAAATAGATCTTGAAATCACAAAAAATTATGATTAATACTTTTAAAAACTCATTCCAAACAAACTTTATCCTTACCTTGTTATTCAGTACGTTTTTGAACATGCCGGACGCTAGCTCTAAGACAAAAGTTTATAGTTCTGCTTATTAATTACAAATTTTTGAACTTATTAAAATTAATTTTTAAAAAAGTTTTACATTATTAAAACTTTTAACTTAAATTATTTATGCAGATTATTATTTTGTTTTCAAATGTTCAAAAACTTTGCTTCACAGTTTTTAAAAACTACCTTCAGACCAATAAACCTCAAGTTCAATTGTGATTATAGCAAAACTAAAAAAATTGTTGAAACTATTTCAAGTGATCCAACCACAAACTCTACAAGCAATGTAAATTTTTCATTACTTCAAAAAAATTCTGAAATAAAGAGGATTGATATATCTGCTTGTGAAGCGTCTTTTAATATTTTAAAAAATTTTAATTTTACTGAAGATGATTGTATTAAAATTATAAATGAGTACCCTCAATTTTTAAATGTTGTACCAGAAGAATTAGATTTAACGATACGGCAATGGAAACTGTGCGAAATAAGATATGAAATTTTACATAAAATATTAACGAATCGGCCTCAATTTTTGACTGTGGATTGTAATGTAATAAGAAAACGACTTCAATTTTTGATTTCAATTTGTAAAAAAGAAGAAATTTTGTCAAACCTTCTTATAAATTGTCCTAATGTAATTTTTGATGACTGGCAATCTGTTTTGGATAAACTTAGACATTTGTTTAAAGACAGAAGAATAACTTTAAAAGAAATTGTTAAGAGTAATGCATTGATTCACCATTTAGATTTTATTAAATTTAGATTTAACTTATTGGAAAAATGTGGTGTGTATAAAAGAATTATTGTTTACCCACATAAGGTTAACAAATTTGACAAAACAGCTCATAAAAATCCTCCTTTATCACATATTCTTGATTTAGATAATAAAAGGTTTGCAACAAAAGTAGCCAAAATATCACAAGAAGAATACTATGCATTCTTCGAGCTTACCAATAACGTTGATTATGAAACAGACAGCGATAGTGAACTTGATTTAAAAAGTTCTTACAAAAAATAGTTGTATTTAGTGAATTTTAGTTTTACAATTTTGAATATCTTTTATAAAAATGTAATATATTATTAAAAATAATACTAATAATTTACTCTATTAATGTACTATTTAATAATGCCTATAATTTTTACTCTTTCCTTTTATACTTAAATTGAAAGAATCAAAGCAATGTCGATATTATCTTACAATACACTTTCTTTAAAATGTTATTAATTAAAATGTGAATTTAAAAATTACTAATCACTACTTATTTTATTTTACTTAATTATTTATTTCAAGTAAAATTTTAAAAAAAATTAATTAAGACATTTTTGTAATCAAAAACTTTAAAATCATGAATTTAAAAAATTGAAAGGATTCATAACTGAAATTATTATTAAATCCTACAAGAATTTACTAATTCTGTTGAAGATATTTTTATTTCAACATCCTAAATTAGTAAATGTAAATTATAAATAAAAAAATTAGACAGATTTTACCTATGTACTTCCTAATAAATCCCTTAATGTGGTTGTCGAATCTAATGTTTCTTGTTGATCCATATCTTCCAAATGGCTTCTAGTAAAAGCTATACTTCTTTGTAAAGATTCAAATCTAAGGGAAGCATCATTTTCTTCTATGTAAGGTTCACCAGAACGATTAATCTATAAAAGAAACAAATATCTTGAGTAATCAGTAATTCTTATGTGACTAATGGAATGATGATGAAAATCAAAGTAAATTGATTAAGTAAATTTATTTTTAAAAAGAAAATCGAAGTAAAAAAAAAAAAAAATTTTTTTAATTTGTAATTGGCTGTAGTGTAAAAAGAATAAGTATTGTATTTTTGATTTAGTATAAGACAAACTATACTGTTTGGTTTTTTTTACTTACTTCAAATTTAGTCATTTTATATTTAATACACTTTTTAATACCAGGTGAACTCTGAAGGAGATTCATTACAGTTGGATGAGATATTCCAAAAAAATCTGCTCCTCTTCCTCTTGTGTTAACCACCTCAACTCCAACTACTTGGTTAATTTTTTTCAAAAGTTCAGAATGAACAATATTTATATCATCTCCAGAAATTGAAGTTTCCAAATCAGTGTCTGATGCAATTTCAAATCTATCATTAAAGCCATTATATATTAATACATTTTATATATTTTTTACTTTATAAATAAATAATTTAATAAAAATTAAACTGTACATGGGCATATTTCCTCCGTCTAATATCATACAAGTATAAATACATGGGGAAGTAGGATCAGATAAACCTCCATACACCCTAGTACTACAAAATCCAACTGGATATATTAAATCTTCATCATGAAATGTAAGTCTGTCAGTTATTATTTCACCTAAGGAATGCACAGACAATGAACCAAGGTTGACAGGAAAAACTGGCAATCCAGAACTGTCAACAGGCACAGGTACTAATGTTTTTCTTTTTACTGTAGGATTTACATTTTTCTTAGTTTTGGCTTTAATAGATTCATTAATATAATCATTTTTTTTTTTCACAGCAGCTGATTTTTGAATATTTTGTGATGTCAGGTTTTTATGAAAATTTTGTTCTGTAAACTCTGTGCTATGTTTAGCACTAGATTCTAGTTGATAAGCTTTTTTCAGTAAAAATATTCTTTCTTCTTTTAAACCTATTATTTTTTCTTGAAGTCTAAATACTTGATCACATAATGCAGCATTTTCCTTT